AATAGTAATTACTAATAGAAATCTAAAATGCCTTTTCACGCCAAGACTTCGTCCATTCCCGCCTAGGCTTTAAAGGCTTGAGGCTTGGTCTAGACGTTTTATCATGCCTCACGCCTTTTTAATCACTACTAATGAGAGCCATTATTTGCTCTTTATCCCATCCTAATTTTAAAAAATGTTTGGTGTTCACTTTTTTACATCATACACACGCTTTGTTTATCTAAATAGATAAATTCTTTGTATGCAAACATGTTCTATATGTCTAGACAAAATTTCTGTATGCAGTGATTTTATCTGTGTATATAGACAAAGTGTGTGAATGGACATGCATTGTTGTCTAATTTTTTCTTGAAAATATGGGTATTCGACAAAACAAGGTAGATACCATGCACACCATTCCAGAAAGTGTAGATTATGGTCTGCAAAAGTGTAGGATTTGGCAAAACTGTTCTCCCATTTTAATTAAAAATAAAATAAAACAGAGAGCAGATTTGGCGAATCTGTTCAACAATTTTCATTAAAAAAATAGGAACAGATTCGGCCAAGCTGTTCTGGCATTTTTATTTAAAAACCCAGTAGAATGCATTATCTATATCATGCAGCCTTTCCAAAAAAAAACTCTTGCAAATGAAAATTTATGTATTCTGAATTGAAATATCTATTCAAGTGGTAAGATCAACTTGTTATTACAAACCAATAAAGTACAATTATTTCATAATGAATTACAAAAAGCACTAAAATGTTAAAAATACATTAAATCATTGTTGTCCTCTTCTTCTGCTTGGGCGCATATTCATCTCATTTTGAAACTTTGTTTCTTGACAACACCCCACTTGAGAAGTTCGTGATAAATATTTTGGCAGTAAAAGATGGAACCCAATATCCAGCCACTCATTCATATTTGGCAAAGACATAATATCACCCGCATGTGCATTAATGTAATAGCTCAGTTTATATACCTCAGGAATAAGTTGATCAACAGGTCGGTTGAGGAAATGACACACAACATGCACGTGGGTGCATGGCATCCCGTTCATCATCCTCCAACACCAAACATCACACTCACGCCTTGGCAAGTCTACCGTAACTGGGTTTGCTGCGTTTGCATTTTTTATAGCTACTCAGTAAACTCCACTTTAATGATTGTGAGGAATTACAACAGTTTGACACCTTTGTTGCCATCGATTTGTAATATGCTTCTGCAATTTTTCCTTAAATTGAAATGTATTTTGATTCCACATCATACCAACACTATGTCATTCTGCAAAGAGCTGAATGGATTTATCAAAAGTTGCTCTCATAAGTGCTGTTATTGGAAGCGTTCTACATCCTTTTAGCGCATGGTTAAAATTTTCAGATAGATTTGTCGTAATCGTAAAACTTCCACAACGACACCCACCATAAAAACAAATTAAAGTGGCCACTTGTCTTTGGGAATAACATCAAGATAGTTGAATGCTCTTTCATTAACACCCCAAATTTGTTGCATGTAATTATTGAATTCATTTAGAATGAGGGTACTTCCCGCACGACAACACAATTTTTTTTATTGCTTGCTTCGAAATTGGGACATGAAATTATTTCGAATTTGTCAAACACAATATCGCCTCTGAATTGGAGGTGTTCCCAACTGTGGCACATTCCGGAATGCACAATCAATAGCGACATGTCGATTAGATATAATGCAAACATTTCGATACCAATAATATTGTTGCAACTAACTGTAAAAACCACATCCAACTCTCCCATTTGCACTATCAACCACCCCAAAAGCTAGAGGATAAATTTCACGGTTGGCATTCATTGCCACCATGACCAACAAAGTGCCTTTGTACTTATTGTGCAAATGTGTACCATCTATGGAAATGACCGGAATACAGTGATTGAAACAATCAATCGCTGTTTTGATTGACCAAAATGCGTATTGAAATTCATGCGTACCTTGTGTACTGGTTTCATCTACTCGTAGGTCGACAATGGTACCCGGATTACTAAAGGCCAAACCTTGTAGAAGTTTTGGGAGATCGTTTTACGATGCCTCCCAATTACCAAATCGTTTCTCTAATGTCAAGATTCGAGCATACCATGCTTTCTTATAACCCACATGGATGTTGAACTTGCACTGTATGTCATGCATGATGAGCTTTATACTATAATCGGGCTTAACAAAAATCATGAAGCCTATTTCATAGGCAACTAACTTACTTGTGAGAAGTTTATCGTTCTTACCTCGTGTGTAGTCGGGGATATACATGTATCACATTTTCTTGAAAGTAAATCTATATTGCGTCAAAATTTAATTTGTAAAATAATACACCCTCCGTCCCATAAAATTCTTCCAATTTTCCTTTTGGGGTTGTCCCAAAATATTCTTTCCATTACCATTTTTGGACAATTTGTGTGGCTCACGTTCATTTTACTCTTTTCTTACACAACCACAACCACAACCACACATTTCCACTTTACTCCCACTTCCTTAATATGCGTGACAAGTCAATATGAGAAGAATTGTTTGGGACAGGGGAGTATAGATTAGAAACTTTTGTGTCCCGTGCATCGCACGGGTCATATACTAGTTATTTATAAACTATTAAAAATTATATGATTTTGAAAATTTTAAAATTGTTCGGGCCGGGCGGCCCGGTGGACTACCTGACCCGCTCTTATGGGCGGGTATGGAAATAGGGTTAGGCCCGATTTGCGGGCCGGGCCCGCCCACACATGATGGGCATAAAATTTATAAAAAACTTGGCCCGAGCCTGGCCTGAGCCCGTTTTTGTGCAAGCCTACAACTATTTCAAAATTATCATTCTCCAACTACAATTATTGATCTACAACAATTATTAAATTATATAATTGGATATAACATATACAATTTATTGTATTTCCATCTCATATCTCATACAATGTCTAAATATCACTAGTTAACACATATTTATAATACAATCTATAACCTAATTAAATAGCACTATTATTTCAAAATTAATATTCTCCAACTACAATTATTGATCTACTATAATAATTACTAAATAGTATAATTAGATATAACATATACAATTTATTGCATGACCATCTCATATCTCATACATACAATATCTAAATATCACTAATTAACACTTATTTATAACACAATTCAACTCTAATTACATTCTTATTTTATAATTAAAAATTAACACTAATTATAAATTAATATTACGTAAATTACGCTAATTATACACTAATTTCTACACCAAAATAGAAAAGATTTCTATAAACGAATGGTGACTATATTATCAAGAAACAGTGGTATCATGCACATTAGTAAATTTGCACATACGTATTTGATAAATTAACACTCATCTTTCCTATTCGGTAAATAGACTAATATTTGGTATGTTCCCTGTTTCACTTTTTTGACAGGTTTCTATTTCACAATTAAAAATTAACACTAATTATAGACTAATTTTGTTTCTAAGTAACACTAATTAAATTTTATACTAATAAAACTAAAAATGAATCAGGAAAAACTTACTTGGGCTAAGATGAAGGAGATGGCCGAAATATGGAGAAGCGGAGAAACCGTAGCGGTTAGATGAGCAATGAAGTGTGAATTGTGGTGAATTTTATAGAGCAGATTTGCCAAATCTGTCTCACTAAATGACGATTCGAGCCAACTCATGTCTACCAAATTCGTCCAACTATAATACGAATGTATTTATTTTTCATAGACAGATTTGCCAAATCTGCTCGGTTGAATTCCGATATGCATCCTTAAAATGACAATCCAAGATGACGATCCATGCCCACAAATATTGACAATAGGAGCACATACATATTTGGCAAATATGTCCAACTATATATTTATTTATACCGGACAGATTTGCCAAATTCGATAAGTTAAATGCCAATCTACGCCCTTAAATTGACAATCCAAGATGGCGATCTGTGCCCACAATTATTGACCAGAAGTGACAGACAGATTCGCCAAATATGTCCAATTATTTTTTTTTGCAAACATTGGACAAAAGATGTTTTTATTTGGACTGTAATCTGTCCCAGACCAGATCAGACCAGACCAAAACAGACCGGACCAAACTTGGATAGTTGTAAAAAACAAAGAGACCAGACATTACCAGACCAGTTTAGACCAGACCAGATCAAATTACAGTCTAGATCTGACAATTGTGTTTTACCTTTTGAGATAGGGGTGGGCATATCGGTTTTCGGTTCGATTTTTATCGGTTTCGGTTTGGAACGGGTCGGGATAATTATTACCAAACCAAGACCATATTATTCTTCGGTTTGGTTCAGTTCGCTTTGGTTCAGTTTGATTCGGTTTTGATTTGTTATTTTATATAATATGTGAAGGTTTTATTGAATTTATTTAGTTCGGTTCGGTTTTGTCTATTTTTATCGATTTCGGTCGGTTTGGAAGAAATTCCACCAAACTCAAACCAAATTGCATACCGTTCAATTTGGTACGGTTCGATTCGGTCAAACAAAACCAATATGCCCACCCTTATTTAGTTATTTTGACATAATCCTGTAACGGGTCAAATGCATAAATGACACCTTAACTATTGTAATGTTGCATTTTGGTACCTTAACTCTTAAATAAATCAAAATGATACCTTAACTATACATAAATGTTTCGAATTGAGATTTTATTCAAATTTTCGATCAAAAATTCATTCACGACGATCAAAATTTCATGTGTAGAGTCATTTTATAGTGACTATATGGACAAAAATAAGGTGAAGTAGACTTTACACATAGAATTCTGATCATCACGTGTGATTTTTTGGTCAGAAATTTGAATAAAATCTCAACTCAAAAAATATATGTAAAGTTAATTAAAGTACTGTTTTGATTCATTTAAAAGTTAAGGTACCAAAATGCAACATTATCATCAATAGTTAAATCGTTAAGGTACCCATTTGACCCGTCCAGTAACTAACTCAGCTTTTTCCACACGTAACCTAGTTCGATGTATATATATATACGGAGTATATAGCAGATCCTATCGTACGAAGTACTAAACGAGGTACCCACTAACAGTACCATAATACATCTACCTGCCTCAAGCGCCGTAATACTTTTATCGTTTTTCTCTTCCAATCGTTTCATTCTCGTATACGAGGTGTTTGGATTGCCTTGCAGGATTCGATCTCAGGTTTGCCATCAAAGTTCTTTTACGTTTATAATTTCGTTTTCAGATTCCAATTTCCGTCAATGGGTTCGGAACCCACGAGTGCGAGGATTAGACGTGATTGCTGCTCGCTCGCTCGGTTTATTCGTTTTAGATTTCGACTTTTCGCGATTCTTTTCTGGGATGTTCATATGCTAAGCCAATCGCGGATGACTGTAAATTAAAAGACAATCCCTAGGGATTATTATTTTGGATTTCTTAGTGTTCTCTTTTGGTTATATGCACCCGAACACGAGCTATTTGGATGGTTCGCTGAGTTTATGAATTATGGAAACGGATGTGAAATTGGCTCCTTGATGCCCGTGGTGATGTTTGATTGAAAGAGTGTTAACTTGGCTCCTTTATCTTTCGTTGTTGGAATCTGATCTATCCAAATCCCATTTGATTGAATTTGCATGATCGTAATTGCCTGGTTGGATTCGGGAGTCCTGCTCATTTGGCATGTAAAAGCTGATCTCGGGCGACCTGAACTTCCCTGCACTTACTTGGATTTTGCGTTTGTAGTGGTCTTTGCCTTTGTGTCTGCCGGTCATCCAAATGCTGGCAATGATATGATGCTATTGGTTTTAGATTTACCCGACAAATGGATAGGAAGTTTGGGCTTAGTTGATGTGTAACCCGTTGTTAAGCTGCAAACATTTTGTGAATTTCGTTTTTTTCTGAGATTTTCTTGCTTTGCGTATATTCTAGCATGAGTGTCAAGGCAGCAAATGGTGTTGTGAAGAGACCAGTGTTTAAGAGAATCAGCAGAGTACAGAATTCTGACAGCAGGGTGTGTGTGTTTTGGCTTCAAGGGAAGTGCAATCGAAGCCCTTGCAGGTTTCTACATAAAGAATCATCCTCACTGCACCCTCAGCAGCCCGTTTCAACAACATTTCAGAACATACAACATTATACCCGACGCATAAGCACCTGGATGAATCCTAATCACAAATATGCCATGATAGGAACTTCTTTGATGAATGAGAAAAGTTCTGAACTTGAAATTTGCTCAGAGACCCAGAAGAAAGTATCAATTACTAGAGGAACTGGATTTCATGCTGTAGATCAAGCAAAACCTAAAACGAAGCCATGCAAATCCGGGGTTAATGACAATTGTGTCCTTGCGAACAATTGCAAGGACTCCCATGCATGGTCATCTGGCAATGGCTTTTCTATGTTGGCAAAGTTAGACGGGCACAGCATGGTACTTGACTTAGCTCTTCTTCATTGTTTCCCTTTTCAGACCTTTTGGGTGTGAACTACTCATATAATTTTATTTCATTAACTAATAATTACAGGCCATTACTGGTATCGCTCTTCCATCTGATTCCAGCATGCTATATTCTGGTAGCAAAGACAAATCAGTTCGCATATGGGACTGTCACAGTGGCCAGGTTTGTTGTTTATTCAGTTTAATTAAATTTATTTATAAAAAGAGATTCCAGATTTTAGGGTTTTCTTTCAAATGAAACACGGTATAACTCAAGAGTACTCCATGTCATGCAGTGCGCTGGTGTTGCTCAGTTTGACCAAGAAATAGGGTGCTTGGTAAGTGAAGGCCCATGTGTTTTCATTGGATTACCAAATGTCATCAAGGTATCCCCTTATTTTCAGAGACTGATTTGTATTCATGATTCCCCTGCCAACTCCTTTTGCTAATGGTTTCTTACTCAATCACTGTTTCTTACGTTTTTTGGTTACTTTTTTTAGGCATGGAACACTCAGACGAAATTGATGTGCGACTTGAGTGCAACTAATGGGCAAATTTATGCAATAACTGTGTATGAAAATAAGCTTTTTGCAGGAACTGAGGTAACTACGGCTGTAAAATGTTTACTTATACCCAGATTTAATGGAAATGACACATTTTTTAAAAAGTAGATTTGTTGCATATTCATTCAACCTTCTTTGCCTGATTGACCAAATCTTGTTAACTTCATTTACCACAGGATGGAACCATTTTGGTATGGAAGTTCATCTCAGCGGATGCATTGCCTGAACTTGTTGCATCACTGAAAGGTCATAGTCTGGCTGTTTTCTCGCTTATTGTTGGTGCAAATAGGCTATACTCAGCTTCCGGGGACAATACAATAAAAGTATGACCTCCTGTCCATAGCATCTGTATGGATTTTTTCAGTAGGCTTGTTCATTTAATTGTTAGCTTCAAAAATTCATTATTCTCAAAATTTGTTATTAAACTACTTGAAGTACTCGCCTTAATGCTACCCCGATTAAGGATGTTTGGTTTTGTTGGACGGGGAAGGAATGAATTTTAGTCTCCGCTCCAAAATCTCCCAAATTGGAGGGGTAAAAGATCAAGGGATAAGGGATGAAGGGACAACTTAAACAACAATCCTACCAATTTCTTTTAACCAAATGAGGTGATGGAAGAGATTTCCCCTCCCTCATATCAACCCCAAATTTTATGAAACAAAATTTTCACTTGCAGGTGTGGGATCTCGAAACCTTACAATGCTTGCAGACGCTACATGGCCATGTAGATACTGTGATGTCTGTCCTCTGTTGGGATAGCTATTTGATATCTGGCTCCTTGGATAAGACAATAAAAGTATGTCCATTTTTGTTATGATAAAGACTGTTTTGCCCCTTTAGGTGTTTATTCTGGTAGTTTATTCAGTTTTGTGTTCTGCATGTATACTTCAGGTGTGGGCTGCAACTGAAAGTGGGAGCATGGAAGTAATCTATGAACACAAGGAAGAAAATGTAAGTTGATTTTTGTGTTTTGTTTTGTGTGCGCATCCATTGTGTGCCATTATTAACTGTATTAACTGCATAGATTGAACAACTTATTTAAACTGTATCAGAGTGTTCTTTCCTTTTGTGGAATGCTTGATGCTGAAGGGAAACCTATTTTGATCTGTTCATGCAATGACAATACTGTCCTCCTATATGACCTCCCATCGTGAGTATCAGAATCTAACATCTTCCTTTCTGTTGAAGTTTCTTTTTTCGTTCTCGTCCTTGGTGTTAACTGTCTTCAATCATGCTAGGTTTTGTGATAGGGGCAGAATATCTACAAATGGGGAAGCTCATATGGTTCGAACAGCAAATGGTGGACTCTTATTCACGGGGGACAGAGCTGGACAGCTCTGTGTATGGAAACTACTCGGACAGAAAGAGGATACAAGACAAGTGACAGTGCCTCCTGAATTATCCCCTGGATGTACTCCCTCTGTCTCTAAATGCTCTTCCTCTCATATTTTAACCATCTCCAAAAGATCTTCTTCATTTGTGAAGATGATCCCCCAATAGAGGCTCGGTGCTTTGTCATTGTCATATCAGCAAATGAATACAGGAAATGTATTTTGAACTCGATTACAAACCAACAATATCTAGGGCTTCAATTTATGTGCAGTAACGTCTGCTCGTGTACATTTAAAAAAAACATTTAGCAGATGGTTCTTTTTTCCTGTAACCTCTTTTCCTCTTTTTTCCCTTCTAAAGTTTGTAGAGATCATTTTGTGTTGGTTAATGGAGTAAATTTTATTAGCGGAAATGTGCAAATATATCTTTGAAGTATGTGGAGGTGTAAATATACAGAAATTTTATTAAGCTCGTAATGTGCTCCTTAGAGAGCGCGTAAGTCCACGTGGCAGCAAATTAATGAAATTTAAAAAAAAAACGAGTTACGAGTTCGGCAATTCTCCTGCCTGCTGGAACCTCCTCTCCAATCTCCATTTATCGGTGCCATCGTGCCGACCAGGAAGGATTTCTTACCGCTGCAAAGCGTTGAAAAATAATACCGGCGTGTTGAGAATAGGGATGGACTCGGGCCGGGCCAACCGGCCCGGAACCGGACCGGCCCGGTCAACCGGTTCGGTTCCGGTTCGGGCCTCCAGGCCCGGTGGTATACCGGTCCGGGCCCGGGCCTCCAGTTTAGTGAACCGGCCGGGCCGGGCCCGGTTCGGGCCGGAATTTAATTTTTTTTTTTTTGAAATTTTTTTAAGTTTTGGGTTGGATTAGGTATTTTGGGCCATTTGAGGTGGTTTGGGGTGGTTTGGGGTGGAGGGGGAGGGGTAGGGGGTTAAATAAGAGAAGAAGAAGAAAAAAAAAAAACATTCCGGGTGGCCCGGCCCGGCCCGGCCCGGTTCTGGCCCGGAACCGGAACCGGAACCGCCCACCACCGGTTCGGGCTCGGGCCTCCTTTTTCTGAACCGAGGCCCGGCCGGGCCCAGGCCCGAACCGGGCCCGAACCGGAACCGGTCCACCCCTAGTTGAGAATTTCGCCGTCCGCAACTCTGCATACCATATAAAAATGAAGGGTGGTCTTGCTAAACAAAAACCACAGCCATTTTTCCTTTCTTTCTGCAAAATTTCTTCACATGAAGAGCTTCGTCTCTCTTCCCAGTTTCATCTAACACAACAGTCGCCGACTCGTGGAAAACCAGTAATGGAATGTGTGAGAAACAACCAAAATCGCAAGTCACCAAGCTTTAGGAGGTCTGTCATCACAGAACTTTCATGGAGATGTTGCAGGAAGGTCATTCGTGCATATACAATGGCCGGAATTCTTCCCTTTGTTATCTTTTTGTCGTGAAATCCGCTTGGTGCCTTGGAGCCTGTCATCCTTTGAACTCCCAAGAAAAGACAGAAAAGGAGATTAGATTAACTTTCTTTCATTCTCCACAGAAAAGCAGGGGCGGTCCTAGGGGGTGCAAGTCCTAGGTGCAAAAAAAAAATGAGTAAAAAATAGGTCCAAGTTTAGTTCTTTGTACTAGGTGTGAGTAGACTGATTTTTCTGTCCTAAACTACCAATTTGTTTTAATGAAATTTGTTGAAGTTCTTCGGAATGAGTTCTTTTTGTGAGAAATTATGATCATGTTCTCTATGAACATAGATTATGTAAAAAATCAGTTTAAATAAGTTCAGTTTATAACTCAGTTAAATAAATTATTGAAAAAACACTCTGTTTTTATATATATATTTTGACGCATTGTTGTTCATTAATTTATTTAACTAACTTCACGATTGAATTTTAAGCAAAATTTTATGGATATAATCTACACTTATGACAAACATTCTTTTAAAATTTCATAAAAAATTCCACACGAAAGCAGATTAGTCTGATATGATTATTTGATTAGTTTATTAGTTGATTCCATTCACAGTTGAATGTTTGATTTCTTAATTGTTGATTGTTTTCTATAGAGTGGTGCTTCGTCCATGACCTAATCTCAATCATGAACGACATCCTCAAAACTTTCCACTTCCTGCGGCTAGGGGTACATAACCTTTGGCTGTCATATAGGCGTTGCGGTCTGCCGAATAAGAGAGCCTCACGAAATGCAGACGAAAGCCGCACAAGAAAGCCGCACTTCGTCGACGAGGAAAGCGGAGAAAAACAACCCCCAAACTTAGGGGAGACAGCCACCTAGAGAGAAAAGCTCTCAAACATTACAACAACATCCAAGTCTTAGTCCCAAAAGAATTGGGGTCGACTAACATGAATCGATACATGATATCACCAAAAGGAAAAGAAAGAAAATAAAGATAAAAAAGATAAGCTATTATAAAAAAGATAATATAAAAGATATGAATATACATATAAATGATAAAATAAAAAGGATAAAAATAATACTTATATATAAGGATAAAAGGATAAAAAAAATAGGGGAAAAAAGAGGTGAAAGGATGATACAAGATCACTCCTCCACACGAATACCCGCCCTCCACTTTGTTCTCTCCAAAGTCATACTCTCATCCAATCCAAGAAAAAACATATCACTTCTGACTCCTAACCCACGTCTGTTTGGGTCTTCCTCTCTCTCTGTTTCCTGCCTCTTCTCCACAAATCTCAACTCGTCTGACAGGTGTATCACTCGGTCTTCTATGCACATGACCAAACCACCGTAGGCGCGACTCCCGCATCTTATCTTCAATAGGTGCTACTCCCACCCTTTGTCTGATTGTCTCATTCCTCAAGCGGTCCTTTCTGGTATGCCCACATATCCAACGCAGCATGCGCATCTCTGCCACACTCATCTTTTGAATGTGACATTGTTTCACCGCCCAACACTCCGTGCCATACAGTAATGCAGACCTAATTGATGTCCTATAAAATTTAACCTTCAGTCTAGTCGGCGTATCTCGATCGCATAGAAATCTTGACGCACTCTTCCACTTCATCCACCCTGTTCTGATTCTATGGGATACATCTCCATCTAACTCACTGTCCTTCTAAATTATGGAGCTCAAGTAACAGAACATATCACTAACCGGTATCTTCTTACCATCTCAAACATTACGTATTTTAATTTAGGGAAAAATAATTAAAATACCCCGAACTTTGTAGGGGTGTGAGATGAACACCCCAAACTTGCATATGTAATTTAAATACCCCAAACTTTATATAAAAAGTTATTTTAGCACCATTGTGAAGTATTTTTCTTTCAGAAACGTAAATTTATGGTGTTAATTGCATGCATTAAAATATTTTAGAATTCACGAGGACACAATTAACATCTAAACCTCCATTAGGAAATAAATAATGTTACCCCCAATCTATATAATTGGAACACTTTTATTTTTTTAATTTAAATTATGCAATTAACCCAATTTACATTTTTGAAAGAAATAATACATTACAATGGTGCAAAAATAACTATTTATTTAAAATTTAGAGTATTTAAAGTACATATGCAAGTTTGGGGTGTTAACTCACACCATTCAAAGTTTGAGGTATTTTTATTAATTTTTCCTTTAATTTAATACATAGTAATAAAACTTAATAATTTGATGATGTTTTTTAAATGGAATAATTTGATGATGTTATATACTGTATGTTTTTAAGTGGGAGCCGTGTGAATGATATCATCATTTCTTAGTTTTAGGTGGGAGCAGTCTCAATTAGACGGATTACGTATTTACGTGCTCAATAAAGAGCAAGCCGCGTGCATTTTAAAATTTTCGTGTAAATATACCTCCGAACTTGTAAATGGTGCAAAAGTACACCTAATGTTCTTATAAAGTAGCAAATTTATCTTTATTAACTTTAAATAAATAAAATAAACTTAAAAAACAAAAATCAATTACTATGTATAAATTTAAACTTTGACATTGAAAAATAAAAAAATTAAAGGGTTAAACATAAGTTATTATGTTAGAATATTAACTCTAAATGTTGAATTGCAAAATTATTATTTTTCCTTGTGAATGAAGCACTTTAAATTCATAAATTAATTCTAGTCTTGTGGCGAAAATTGGAACAAGTGGTTACATTTTTTGAAAGAATTAATTCCACTTTTGGTCATACGAGTTTTGTGTCAATTCCACATTAATAATATTTTCTTTTGGACTGTTTTCTCTGTGTCAAGCTCATTATGGTCCACTTTTGATACTTGACTAATGTTTTTTAACCGTTTGTGGTTCTTTTCTGGCGGTTTTAACCATCGGAAACAATGTCAGAAGGACCATATATGGGCGAAAACTCAATGGTCATGTATCAAAAGTGGACAAAGTGAAAGATGTGGACTAAATGTGGAATTGGCCTAAAACTCGTAGGAGCAAAAGCGGAATTTATTCTATTTTGAAATAACATTCTTTGGTTTTGCATAAACTTAATAAAATTAAATTCACTAGTTTGTAATATTGGATTGTTTATCGCCATACATAATATATAATTTTATAGTGCAAAGAATACAAAAGTTAATGATTATTTTTATACATAACACATATTTTAACACTATTACGAAAGAATCATAAATATATAGTAAAATTTTGAAACAATCTTTTATACCAACAATATACAGAGTATTAACGTATATGTAAAAATAATAAAAGAGGGAATTGGACACAATTAAATTTCTAGCTTTTCATTTTTATTTTTATTCCTTATGTTTGGTATTTTTTAAAATTTATTTTATTTATTTAAGTCAGTAGGAGTAAATTTGCTCTTTTGTAAGAACATGAGTATTTTTGCATCTTTTAGAAGTTCATATATATATATATATATGTATAGAATAAAGATCAAATACAAATCCTTCTTAATTTACAAAATACAAACTCATCTTGACCATCCGATGAGTTGATCCAAAGGACATAAAGGCAAGGTGGCATTTTTGTAATAAAACCCAACTTTTTTAGGGTGCAACTCATTGAACGTTAATGTGCACCTGCTATTTTATGGCTGAATAATATGCACTACTTTGAACCTCAATATGCAATACAAAGAACGTTAAGGTGCATCGTACAAATATTTGCACAATAAGCACAGTGTGTATATATATATATATATATACACATCTACATATACTTTAGGGGTATATCTACATCTTTTCCCTTGTTTTTAATCTCTAGTTGGATGTAAAGGAGCTTTGAAGTTAAGAGTAGTGCAATTATATTTTGTTAATTACTCTCTACAATTTATACTAGTATTATCATTAAGGGGGTGGTGGTTAAGGTTGTGTTTGCCTTTTGCATTGAAATTGAATTTGTTATTATTGGTTGTTGAGGTTTATTCATCGGTGTCCAAAACCCCAACACAGTCCTTTGGCCTTTGTTGGAATGTCTTGATTGAAGTAGTTCGC